AAAAAGGGATGCTAGCGTGGTGGTACTACATGAACTAGTAAGTGGCAAGTGTGTCCTATTGCTGATAGATGACGCACATGTTGTGGGCCAGTCCGGAGACCGTTAATCAAGACAGCAGACAACAGTGTTAGTGCATGCATGGAGCAGCATGTAGTGATGAAGTGTCTTGTGAATGAAGGAGTAAAACCCGTAGATATCTACAGAAGACTTCAAGCACAGTACGGTAAGGAGACACTCAGTCGCATAAGGGAATTTGAATGGTGTAAACGTTTAACCACTTGCCAACCGCGCTACAGCCGAATGATGGCTACAGCTTGGTTGTTCAGTTCTGGGAGGCGATATTTGACGTCCTTCCAGAACACACCCCTCCTGCGTGCCCCCCAGCTGATCTCATGATATGGTAAAAGGCCAATCACAGCAGTCTTTTACCACGTGATCAGCTGTGTCCAATGACACAGCAGATCACCAGGTAAATGCAGTTGCCGGTTATTGGCTGCTCTTTCCTCACGCTGTCACAGCATGAGGTAAGTACTGCTGATAACCGGCAATTGTCAGAAAACAGATTGGCACTGATCAGTTCCCAGCAGTGCCACCCACCAATGCCACCCACCTGTGCCCAGCAGTGCCATCCACAAGTGCCAAGCAGTGCCAACCATCTGTGCCCAACAGTGACACCCATCTGTGCCCAGCAGTGCCGTCCAGCAGTGCTGCCCATCAGTGCCACCTATCAGTGCCCATCATTGATGCATATCAGTGCAGCATCACCAGTGCCAGCTCATCAGTGCCACCTATCAGTGCTGCGTATCAGTGCCCATCAATGTGCTGCCTATCCGTGCCACCTCATCAGTGCCGTCTCTCAGTGCCGCCTATCAGTGCAGCCTCATCAATGCACATCAGAGAAAAATTACCTGTTTGCAAAGTTTTATAATAAAAACAACAAATAACTTTTTTCAAATTATTTGCTCTTCTTTTGTTTATAGCGCAAAAAATAAAAAACCCAGTGGTGATTAAATACCACCAAAGGAAAGCTCTATTTGGGTGAAAAAAACAGATTAAAAATTTCATATGGGTACAGTGTTGCATGACCGCACAATTGTCATTCAAAGTGCAACAGGCTGAAAGCTGAAAATTGGCCTGGGCAGAAAGGGTGTATAAGTGCCCAGTAGGCAAGTAATTAAACAATAACGATACGTTCATCAGTGATGATCTCAGCCATGATGGTTTCTTTTCCTGAACTCCCAAACCCTTCCTTTCCCACTGCAAATTCCCTTTCTTTGGAATGAGCAGTGCACATTGGTTTGGGTCATGTGCTCTGCTCTATTCACATTAAAAATATCAAAGTTCATAGTCCCTACTCCATAAGTATATGGAGCAAGCAAGAGAGGGTGGCTACGTTCCTACACAGACTAAGACCATGCACAACAAACATAGCCACAATCTAACAAGAAGTCAGAAAACAGCAGTAAAAAATTTAATTTTTTTGGGAGGTATTTGCCAAAATTAGGTAATTTGGGGGGTATTTGTACTATCCTGGAGTTTTCGAGCCTCAAGAAATGATATTGGGCGTCAGTACATCAGGACTGATCAATTGTTAGATATATGTACCTTGGATTGTGGACTCCATAACTTTCCTACAGACTAAATAATATACACTAATTTGGGGTTTTTTCACCAAAGAAATGTAGCAGAATACATTTTGACTTAAATTTTTGAAGAAATGTTATTTATTTGCAAAATTTTAGAACAGAAACAAAGAAAAAATGCATTTTTTTTCAAAAGTTTGGGTTTTTTTTTTTGCTTTATTTAGCAAAAAAGAAAAAACTCAGTGGTGATTAAATTCCACCAAAACAAGGCTCTATTTGTGTGAAAACAAATGTTAAAAATTTAATATGGGTACAGTGTTGCATGACCATGCAGCTGTCATTCAAAGTGTGACAGCGCTGAAAGCTGAAAATTTGCCTGGGTGGGAAGGGGGTAAAAGTGCCCAGTATTGAAGTGGTTAAGATTTGTTTTCCCACCAATAGCTGGCCAGAGGTACTGGGCATTGTGGGTGCACTGGAGATTACTATACAAGTTTGGTGAACTACCTTTGGGCATGTAAAGTGTAAGACACAATCAGGGGTGGACTGACAATTCATGGGGTCCCCCGGGCAATAGGGGATCATGGGGCCCCTGTGTCCTTGCCCAAAAAAGAAAAAAAAATGAAAAAGGTACCAGGGGCATCTCATGGGGCCCCCAACTGACCCCAGGCCCTCGGGCAGTGCCCGAGTTTCCAAATGGTCAGTCCGCCACTGGACACAATTCCTATTGTAAGAGAATAGCCATAACAGAGTACAGCATTAGTTCAGCTATAACTTGGAGAAGACAGTGAAGCAGAAATAATCTTTAAGTATTAACAGGTATTGTCAGGAAACTAATGCAACTAATGTTGATTCTTCTACAGTTCATGCTAATTCTTCTTCAGCTACTGCTCATTCCCATACAGCTACTGCTCATTCCCATACATCTACTGCTCATTCCCGTGCAGGTAATGATCATTTCCCATGCAGCTACTGCTAATGCAGCTAATGCTCATTCCCGTGCAGCTAATGCTCATTCCCGTGCAGCTAATGATCATTCTCTGTGCAGCTAATGATCATTCTCGTGCAGCTAATGATCATTCTCATGCAGCTACTGCTCATTCCCGTGCAGCTAATGCTTGTGCACATGTACCAGCACTCAGGCTAAAATACAGTGTGCAACAGGAAGAAGGGTCAGCCTCACACTGGAGGATAGATGAATATAGTGTGTATTTATTGATCCATAGGACACACAAAACACCAGGACATGAATACAGGACTTGTCTATATTGATCTATCCTCCGGTGTGCGGTTGACCCTTCTTCCTGTTGCATCGTGTGTGGTGGCGGGCCAGAGTCTGCACCTGTCGTAGATTGATCTAGTTGGTTTTCAGTGCATTCCTATGGGAAACCACGTTTCGGTTTACACATTTTTTGCAATACGAAATGTTCCAGAGAACGCATTACATTTGTAAACCGAGGTACACCTGTAGAGATAGCTGTAACTAAAACACAATTAAAAGGGACAGTGTCACTTTCCCCATTCTATGAAAAGACCCCCCACAACCCACAACCCAGCACTCTACCACTGCTCATGTTTTTAACAAAACATGGTCAAAATAATAGGCGCTTCTGGGTATGAGGGTGCACCATATGACAGGCCTAGCAATTACTTACTAGAGTATTGTCACATGACAGATATCAGAAAGAAGGCATAAGGGAAAAGTGGAAAGGTAAACATCACATCAATGGGTTAAATTGTCCTTGCACATGACTGGGTATCCTTTGAAAAGTGAATTTTTACATAGCTTCACTCCATTCACTTAAATAGGTAAATAATCCATTTTCAAAGTGAAATTTAATTATGAAAGTGAACATTCTGTTCCCCTTTTTTAAATCATGGTCACTGTGTGGATAATTTGAAATTAACAGCTCAAAAATTCAGACCCTTACAATACAAGCATATATAATTTTAAAGGGCACCTATAATGGCAGTACTCCTTCTGTAAATCTTCTACTAAAAATGCAAGTTTCCTGGCTGTCTCTAGCTTCCATACTCAAGACAAGACATTTCAAAGACACTGGACTAACAATACAACCAAGCAACTGGCATTTTCAGAGGAAGAGGTCAGTGATGACAACCTTCTCATTGCTCTAAATATATTTAATATATAGAATATAATAAATTAAAATTTCACTTATTTTTTAGATTTTGATTTATATACAATAACCGGTGTAAAATGTAGTAGCAATAGAAGCAAAGAAACATTTTCCTTTCTTTTCAGTGTACTGGAAACAAGTGGAAGTAGATAACGGAGAAGCAGTTTGAAACATGTACCAGTGCAAAAATATTTTTAAAAATTCCATGCAGCTGGAATTAAAGGGGTCTGTGCACTAGCAGCACACTCCCAGCACAAAGACAAGTATGCAAATATGAGGCCTCACAGTAGAAGATTTGTTTCAGTGAGGCCATATATATGTGTACTTGTGGAGGAGAGAGGTAAATGACTTTTAAAAATTTATATATATATATATATATATATATATATAATTTTTTTTTTTTTTTAAATATGTTTTAGCTGTTTGACATTGGCCAAGTACTGTAACTTACTAAAAGAAGGTTATTCCTCTTTAGATCGACAAACCTCAATCTTCTTCAAGTAACAAAGGGCTCACACTTCTTACATAATAAAGTTTTAGATATATGTAAAATAGTTTTTGAAAATCCAGTGTTACGTTTTCCATTCATACTTTAAACAGAAATCCTTACTGAGTTTTCCTTCTCAATGGACATTTGTTTCCTGGCAGATAAAGATTCTTGTGATTCATTCCGCATTGAGTAATGCAATAACGTATGCATTTTACTAGATAAGAAATGCAGTAAGAGGAATTTTCAAGAAAAAGAAATACCTCTAAAGGCAAACTAATTTTAATATTTTCGCAGAATAATGCTGTTTTTTTTTAAATTGGTTTGCTGAAGAACCATTATTTTCACTGACATGGTTTCCCTTAAAATAACCAGTTACATTCAGGGCCTTAAAGTAAAACATTTATTTGAACTTAACTGTGTGTTTGAAGTTAACATATTCTACTATAAAGATTATTCTATTAGCTAATTTGTACCTTTATGTCCTCTCTGACAGTCACCCTGCTGTTTGAGAAATCATAGCTAAAATAAGCCGTGCTTAGTACCTGATGTCTAGCAACACTTTTCAGTTCATCCATTAAAATGGATCTAGTTTATATAGACAGACAGTGCTGTTTTATAATTGGCTGGGCTTTATTTTACATCACTTATTGAGCTCCAGCATGTTCTACCAGCCAAACCAGGATGATTAAAGTGGTATTAAACCCAAAGAAAACATTGACTATTTTGCAGCTTACCAATTCTTAGATGTGATGGCTGCATTAGGCCTCATGCACACTGAGCATTTGCTCAGCTCTCCTGAATGCCTTTTTTTCTAGCAGGATGCTTAACCACTTGTCGCCCGGCCCCTGTATATAAACGGCTGAACGGTGGCAGTCCAGGGGCGGGTTGCCGTTCATAAACGCGCCCGCCATTATGGATTGTGCTTGCTCCCTGGGATCCGGTGGGGTCCTCCGGGTGGAACACTGATCGTCGTACGGGACCTCTGTGTGAGGTCCCGATCATGTGATCACTGATCGGCCAATCAGTGTGTGAGGTCCCGATCATGTGATCACTGATTGGCCAATCAGTGATCACATGCAGAGTAGTAAGCAAGATGTCACTTCTGACATCATTGCTTACTACGTGTGAATGATCACAGAGGTCACATGGTACAAGGCTATTCACAACCGCCTTGTACCATGTGACAAGCTGTGACCAATCACAGCTCACACAGTAGTTCTTAATGGCTGCAAGAATGCAGCCAGAGAGAAGGTGAAATTATTGCTTTTACAGCCTTTATGGGTGTAAAAGCAATCAGTGTATAAAAAAATAAATCTTCATCACCCCCACAAGTAGTACAGTGTCACCATAAACTAATTTTATATACTAATTTGGGTTATTTTTTTTTTACTAAAAAGATAACAGAATATATGTTGGCCAAGATTTATGATGAAATATTATTTATTTGCAAAATTTTATAAGAAAAAAACACTTTTTTTCAAAAATTTTTTACTTTTTCATTTATATAGCAAAAAAAATAAAAATCCCAGTGGTGAATAAATGCCACCAAAATAAAGTTTTATCTGTCTCTATAAAATGCTAAAAAATTGATATGGGTACAGTGTTGCATGACCACCATAAACTAATTTTATATCCTAATTTGGGTTATTTTTTTTTTACTAAAAAGATAACAGATATATGTTGGCCAAGATTTATGATGAAATATTATTTTTTGCAAAATTTTATAAGAAAAACACTTTTTTTCAAAAATGTTTTACTTTTTCATTTATATAGCAAAAAAAATAAAAATCCCAGTGGTGAATAAATGCCACCAAAATAAAGTTTTATCTGTCTCTATAAAATGCTAAAAAATGATATGGGTACAGTGTTGCATGACCGCGCAATTGTCATTCAAAGTGTGATAGCACTGAAAGCTGAAAATTGGCCTGGACAGGAAGGGGGTAAAAGTGTCCGGACTGGAAGTGGTTAAAAAATGCACCTAAAGCCATGTTTTGGATGTGCGTTTAGACATGTTCAGGTGTGCCAATTATTTGAGCATTCATGAATTAATGGCCAGAAAATTAATTTCATAACTGCAATGTGAGCTGGAGTTGGTTTAAATTTTAGTGTATATTTAGTTGTTTCCCACAGACTGTTGTCCAAAGGTGCCCTCTGTACTCCTACATCTAGACTTGGGGCTGTCCAATACAGGAGGTGTGTTACAGGCCAGATCAACAGGTGAAAACAGAGAGGGAAAAAGCCTAAAAAAGAAAAACTAATGCAGCCACCACATCTAATATTTGGTAAGCTGCAATGTATTACATTTTTGCTTTTGGGTTTAATACTGCATTACTGTGATGTTGCTTTATCTATGCAGGTGCAGAATTGCCACCCTAGGGCAGGACAGGTGTTACTTACAGTATATAATTGTAGTACTACCCCCTCATGGTTGCTGAGTAATTTTTGGGTTCTCTGTCCTGCCTGACGCCACTCTGAAAGCCCAAAACCTGCGGACACCACCTTAAACCTCCAGTCAGAGGAACCCTCTGGGCGCAACCACAAATTAGACACACAGGCAATTTAGGGTGTACCGATATCTTGATTGTATTGAGATCAAATGTAATCACAGTAAAACAACAGAAATGTTTCTGTATAAAATAATAGCTATCAATTGGAGTAATTTGAAGCAAAAGTCAAACACAGTAAAATCTAAATCAGTTATGGACGTCTTGCAATTCAGGATTTAGCCAGTAACCCCAACCCTGAGAAGACTTTCCCCAGCGAGCAGAAAAAAAAGCTCTCAGAAGCAAGTGACAGGGTTCAATTCTGAGGCTAAGAAAAAAAAACTCAAACTAAATGAGTCACTCTCCCTTTAAATTGCAATATAAGATCTTCTGTGCACTCGATGGGGCCCGGGTTGGTGCACTTTAGGAATTCAAATCCCTCTGGAAGCAAAGGTAGAAGTTCCTTAATAAGGTGTGAATACAAATGTAAGGAGCTGCCCCTTTAAGTGGTAGATAATCAGTACAGAACACCTTTAACAAGCACAGGGTGAGATGTAAATGTATGCAAGTATTTAAAAAATGAGCAGAAGCCCTTTCTGTAGGGAATAATTCCTCTTACAACCCCAGTAGTGAACTGCAGCAATGCAGGAGCTCTTTGGTGAATGTGGGCTGACTGCAATGGAAGCAATGATGTGGCTTAACTTGTGGAGGGCAAGACATGGCAGTGGGCTCTTGTGAATGTATTATGCTGAAAGTGTAGTAACCAGTAGGCCAGGTGAACTAGGCCTTAACGTGTAAGTTGCGAACAGTGTCAGTTAAACTAGGCAGGAAGCAGCAGACTTGAATAATGTCATTGACAACTTGAATAGCTTGAGAATGGAACTCTATCACCTGATCCATGGCACCAGACAGGTAGCTGATTGTCTTTCTGTAGATGGGGGCTCCCAATGTTCCTGCAGTTCCTCCTTCAGAGATCCCTCCGGACAGCAGCATTCTGAACCACTGACCCACAAGAGAGATCACCAGACTGTATCAGCAACTTCTCCTTCCCCCTCCTCTCTCTCTGCGGCCTAGCCAGGCTCGGTTCTCCAGTGTCCCGCATGGCCTTCTTCTCCTCACCTGTTCTCCAGCTCTCACCCCTCACTTTATGCCCCTGGTTCCCAGGCTTCTGTATTTATTTGCCACTGGACACACGCCATTCCTCTGGGAAATGTAGTTTGTTAGCCCGCTGCCACACAGCAAAGTCCTGCAGTCAACCTACGAATCCCACAGAGATTTGCAACAGGGTGTGCACAATTGGGCTGCAGGATGCTGCCATCTTGTAACCATTTAACATCCTGCAAGCAGTATCACAGCAGGGTGTTACATAATATATGCATGAAGAAATGAGCAGACTACACAACCATCTTATATAAAACGTTATTAGCTTAAAGTGATTGTAGAGGATCAATTTTTATCTATTAAAAATCATAAACATTTCATACTTATCTGCTCTGTGTAATGGTTGTGCACAGAGCCGCCCTATTTCCCCTCTTTCTAGGTCACCCCTGGCGCTCTTGGCTCTTCCCATCTATCAAGTGCTTCCACAGTAAGCCAATTGCTATGGGAGCAGTCATACGTTCTCGCTCTCAAGTCAGCTCTCTCTCAACCAATGGGTTGAATGAAAAAAATTAGCCAATTCTCTCATCCACACACTCGATGTGGAAGGGGGAATACTCCCCGCTGAGCATTTGTATTCCTTGCCATCAGGGAATACAAATGTTCAGCCCCCTGAGTCTTCCCGGCCATCAGAATACAATGATCAGTGTTGCTCGCAATAGCCGGCGGTACTAATCATTCAGAAAAAACTTAACAGACTAGTTGTACACAAGTCGATTGATAGATCGACTTGTGTACAACCAACCTGCCTATACATGGATTAAAAGTTTTGATCTATGTATGGCTGCCTTTAGACTATGAGAACATCTAATCGAAAAAAAAAACATACTAATACAATTCATAAACATGTATGTAAAGTTTTGCACATATCTTGGAAAGTTGTGATATTGGACATTAAAGCGGAGTTCCAAAATCTGTAGCTGTTGACTTTTAATAAACAAACACACACCTTTGTCAGGATCCAGCAATGTGCTCACCCACGCTGTCTCTTCTCTCCTTTGCATCTCATCTGTGGGCACCTGGCAATGACAGCCTAAGACTTCAACGCTGGGTGCCAATTGCGCATGCGTGAGTCGTGTTGCACCTCCTGAATGATCCGTTGGTCTTCTTTGATCTGTGTAGTGTCCCAGAAGACTGCAAGGGGAAGGAGGGGGGCCAACAAAACCAGGTACTCGCTCCCCTTCAAAAGGTGCTAAATGTGGCAGTGGAGGGGGGAAGGAGCCAGACAAGTGGAGCTTCACCTTTTGGGTGCAACTCTGCTTTAAGGTCCATATGCAGAAATGTTTGCAATTTTACTTTCTCATAAAAATGTTCAATTTACAAACTTAAATATTGCTTGGGTTTGGAATCTGATAATCTGTTTTCTCATAAAATGGATATTTAACTAGTGAACAGGGGCGGACTGACCATTCAAGCACTTGGCACTGCCCGAGGGCCCGGGGTCAGTAGGGGGCCCCATGAAATGCCCCTGGTACCTTTTTTATAGGCTTTTTTGAGTGTGGGCAAGGACAAAGGGGCCCCATGATCCCCTGTTGCCTGGTGGCCCCATAAGTTGTCAGTCCGCCCCTGCTAGTGAAACCCCTTATTTTTCATGAATCTGTATTTTATCTTCTACAAGAATCACTAAAAAGGAACTTCACCCACAATATTAATAGCTTTATACAGAAGCTCAAGGTCTTTCCCATATTAGGGATTATGCAGGAAACACCACCTGAATTATTCAAAAGCTTATTTAATCCATACTATTAGACAAATTAACTCACCACCCCAGGCTGACTACTGCCCAGACTGCAGCAATTTAATCAATAAATGCTTCCAAACAAACAAACATAAAATAGTTTTACATTCTTCACATAGGCGGGCTTGAGACAGGAGAGACCTTTGGAGGAGCACAGGTTAATGTGTGAAGAAACTAATGTGGCTAGAGGCCATCTTTTCTGCCTTTTCATCCTATATATAAAATGTTTAAACATGATTTGTATTTATCATAGTTGGTTACTTAATTACACCACTAGGTCTAAGATGATCTAAGACAGTGGTTCTCAACCTTTCTAATGCCGCGACCCCTTAATACAGTTCCTCATGTTGTGGTGACCCCCAACCATAAAATTATTTTCATTGCTACTTCATAACTGTAATTTTGCAGTGGGAGGAGTAGTGCCATGTCATTGGTGTCAGTGGAAGGAGTAGTGCCCCATCACTGATGTCAGTGGGATGAATAGTGCCCCATTGTTGGTATCAGTGGGAGGAATAGTGCCCCATCATTGGTATCAGTGGGAGGAATAGTGCCCCATCGTTGGTATCAGTGGGAGGAATAGTGCCCCATCGTTGGTATCAGTGGGAGGAATAGTGCCCCATCACTGATGTCAGTGGGATGAATAGTGCCCCATCACTGGTGTCAGTGGGAGGAATAGTGCCCCATCACTGATGTCAGTGGGATGCATAGTGCCCCATCGTTGGTATCAGTGGGAGGAATAGTGCCCCATCACTGATGTCAGTGGGATGAATAGTGCCCCATCACTGGTGTCAGTGGGAGGAATAGTGCCCCATCACTGGTATCAGTGGGAGGAATAGTGCCCCATCACTGGTGTCAGTGGGAGGAATAGTGCCCCATCGTTGGTGTCAGTGGGAGGAATAGTGCCCCATCGTTGGTGTCAGTGGGAGGA